GCATTCCACTATATGAGCTTATGGGGGTACATTTTTCTACCCATATATTAATATAGGTATTATTTTATTAATTTATACCCAGAACCCAAGAGATGACACAGAGTGTGCCGGCAGCAAGACCTTAGGAAGAGAATACATTTCCAAGCTTTTCAGAGCCCATGTCTGTCAACAGATTTCTGGAAGTTTGAAACAGAGATTAAAGATTTAAATGCTTCTCTCTTAGATTCTGGACTTGCCTTGGTTGGAATTTTCCCATTCCTCTTTTGAGAATAGGAACATTTGGCTATTGTCTTTGCATCTTGGAAATTTGTTACTTTTTTATTTGTGTTGTTTCTCCTAGCAAAGGTTTACCTGAGCCTAGGAAGTCTTTGAACTTGGATATCAAAGTAATGTTAAAAGTGTTAAGTTAGGAATTTGTGGGGATGCATTTTTGTGATGTACATGAGTTTCTGGGGATTGTAGGCAGGTTATAATTTAGAGCTTAATACTACCCATAAGCTCATGGATACTACCCATAAGCCTTTATCCTCACCTGATGGTGCCACTGGGGCATGACAGAAAGGTAATAAAGAAGGACATGCTGGAGGAGGATGATCATGGGTGACTTGCCTGAGGATAGTGTTAGGATCCTGGCCTTTTGCTCCCCTTCATAAGCATCAGGAGGTAAGGTGCTTTGCCCTACATATGATCCCCACACGGTGTTCTCTTCTGACACTAGAGCTCATAGGCACAAGGAGCAAAGCTTGAAACCTCTCCTTCTGAGCCCAAGTTCACATTCTCACCTCATCTTGAAGTACCACAAATCATCCAACTGCACACCAGGTTAGCCCAGCTCTCACTGGACTGCTTTGGTCCCAGGGTTAGAAAGATGATCACTGAAACTCTAGAAAACTACTCCTTCCTCTTAGGTAGGACCCAGGGCACTACACCTTCAGGTCCGGCAATATTGCCCCCAGCCTCACCCATTCCGAGCAAAGTTGGCCTGGAATTTCATCACCATCCTGCTGAGACTGATCTCCTCTTCAGAGGCGCCATCTGTGCCGAAAAAGATATGAAATTAACCTACTTAACTTAAGGTGTGGTTAATGAGCTAAAAATTAACCTACATAACCTAAGAGGTGGTTGATTCGCTGCGACAACATCACAATCTGAGCCCCATTAATAAATGTAATCTTGAGTATGAACACATTGGGCTGAATGTGTCAGATCGAGCCTATGATTCTAATCCCTGAAGATACATGGGGTCAGGCCTGGTTAATATTTGAAGGGGATAAATGCACTCTTGACCTTTATCACATATTCACTAAGCCAAAAATCTGCCTTTTAAGATCTTTGTAAGTGTGCCTTCTATTTAAAGTTAAGAGGAATGTTTCAGATACCCTAGGCCTTTCTCTCTCATATTGACCTGTCTGGCATCCATCTCCCTTGGAGTCCAATGGCAACAAGACTCAAGTTTCCCCAGTTTTACCACCAGAGTTGCTGCCCTTAGGTCTGATCTCAACCTCCTACATATACACCTCTTCATAGACTCTGAAAATTATCACAACTGGGAGATGCCCAGAGACACTGGTGTGCCATGAGGGACATACCATAGGTCAAACATTATATACAATTGTACAAAGGTATTGAAGACCTTTGTGAAAGGTTCACTAAATATCATATCTTTAAGCATATTTAAGTTGACATTATATATTAGATAGCTAGATAGGTAGGAACATGATAAGCCTTATTCAAAGTTAGAAAAATTTCTAACTCTTCCCTTACTCATATTCTAGTACTTATGGGAGGCAAATCAAATACTGGCATTCTTGTCCTAAAGAACCAGTGGGTGACTACGGTGGCCTGAATAAAGTGGTCCCCAAAGGGAATGGCACTATTTGGAGGTGTTGCCTTGTTGGAGGAGGTGTGTCACTGTTGGGATGGGCTTTTTAGGTCTCTTTTGTTCAAGCTTCTCTCAGTGTGACTGCTGGTTGACTTCCTATTGCCTGGAAGATGTAGCACTCTCGGCTCCAGCACCACGTCTACCTGCAAACCAACCACCATGCCTGGGTCATGATGATAATGGACTGAACCTCTGTTACAGTAAGTAGGCCACTGCAATTAAATGTTTTTCTTCTACGAGTTTCTGTGGTAATGGTGTCTCTCCACAGCAACCAAGACAGTGACCTTCTATTTCCTGTATTGTTGTCACAGCAGTATTATGAGAATGACTGTGGTTGGGGACACATTAACACAATCCCACTGTGTGTATTAAAGAAGGAGAAAGGCTGGGGACTGTCCTATAACTGAGTCCCATTTTAGAGCATCAGAAACACCATTTTAAAAGGAGACACTTGATCAAGGCCATCAAGCAAAAATCCAGACCCAGGTCTCAGATCACCAAGGCCACAACCAGCAAACAGACTTTACCTTTTAAAAAGGGGGCTCCCCATACAGAGAAGAGATCATCACCATGGTCTCCTTCCATTGTCTTGGGTCTCATTTCGGATACGAAGCTTGGCCGATATTGAAACTCATACATGTAGGTAGGGGCTCCAGCATCTGGGGAGACATGGATTCATGCACAGTTCACATTTCCAGATATACACCTGGATAGTGTCAAGGTCTTAGGCCCTGCAGTTATCATCACTCTTTGGCTTCAGAGGAAATAGCTTTAGGAAGTCTCGGTGATTTGTTTAGGTTTACACAGCTGGTTGATGTAGTCCTAGGATTTGAAGAAGATGCTTACTGAATGAACAGTGAATGGATCCACACATGCAGCGACTGAATGGGATGAGTGTCAGTCATGACGCATGTGTATTGATTCCTAGAAGATCTAGAACCTCATAGTTGCATTTTGCCTAGCTCTGGGCATTCGAAGAGTTTCTCAACTCTTCAGAGGCATAAGGAAATGAAGACACATAAATAAGATTCTATGCTGAGATGGAATGATTTGTCTCTTGTGTTTCGTGATACCTGCAACTTCATTGGTAGCCCAAGGGTAAGGTCTTTTTCTTTTTAAAGTTCTTTTTTCAGACTACATATTCTGATGACAGTTTCCCCCTCTCCAACCCTTCCTGATGCTCACCACCAAACCAAATTCACAGCATCTCTTTAGAAAGCAAACATACAAGCAAACAATCAGACAAACAAACCCAAACAGAACAGGACAAATAAAAGAGCAGGAAAGAACAAGAACCAAAAGAAAAAGCACAAGAAACACATACAGACACAGAGACACTCCACACATACAGAAATTATATATAAACACAAAATTGGAAACAGCAAAAATATCCAGACAAAACATTATGAGGGCAAAATATCTCCCCAAATACCACTGAATTAGTTTTGTCTCTGTCATCTACAGCTGGGCTTAGGGACTACTCTTAAGAGTTGATTCCATACCTTATGAGATTGTTGGAGAAAGCTAATTTTTCCTTTGTGGGTGGTTATGAATTAGAGACAGCTCCTTGGCTAGAGAAGCGTGACTGTGTCCACATCCTCTCTCAACACTGGAACCCCATCTGACTTAGGCCTGTGCAGCCCCTGTGCTGCCACAGTCTCCGTGAGTTCACACGTGCATCAAGGCTGTTGTGTACAGAAGACCTTGTTTCCTTGGCATCCTCCATCCCTTCTGGCTCTTATAGTCTTTCTGCCTCCTCCGTAAGGATCAGTTTTCTCTGATCCTTGACATGAGAAATTCGATGGAGACATCCCAAATAGGACTGTGTGTTCCAAGTGCTCTCGCTCGCTGCATATCGTCTGATTGAGCTCTCTGTATTTGCTCCCATGTACTGCAGGAGGGAGCATCTCTGATGATCTCTAGGGAAGATGCTTATCTCTGAGTACAGCAGAATGTCATCAAGGGTCATTTTATTGCTACATTACTTTAGCAGAACAGTAGTATTTGGTTTTCCCCTAGGCCCACAGCCTATAAGTGGGCATAAAACCGAAGTGCCTGTACAAGGCAGACTTGCGTTTCCTCCAAACTCTTCCCTTCTCTCCACTGACTCCTCTCTTACCAACAAAGAAGACCTGTTCAAGGGTCAAGATGTCATTATTTTGCTTATAGGGTTAATAGAGGCATCAATCTTTGCTCCTCATGTACCAGCCCATAAACCTCCAGCCTGGGAGCTTCAAGACAATGTTTTAATATCAGAATAGATGCTCACATATTAGATAAAGTAGGGAAATTCAAAATGCTAAAAAAGTTGGGTGGGTAGGAAGGTGGGAAAGAATAGAGAGGAACTTGGAAGGGTAAAAAATATTATCAATACTGTGTAAATTTTATGGTCAGAAAAAAACTTCCAGATTTTTTTTGAAATAACCTTGACATCAGTAAGTCTGGCATCATGTCTCATAGATACTATTCCCATAAAGAATCAAGCTTACAAGATAGCATCTATGAGACATGAGATTGTATACAAGCATTATTTGGGGGATAGGAAAAGTTCCTCATACCAAGGTCCCTTTGATCTATTCAGTATGTTCTCTCAAGGAAATCGTCACACCTTTTCAACGTCAGTCCTTATTGTGTATTGTTTGTCATGCCCAATAATTCAAGATGCTCTAAGAGTGCCTGGATAGCCTTATGATTAAAGTCATACAATGGATGAAAATCTTCCTCAGAAAAACAACTCTATAAATCATAGAAAACAATCACTGTGCTCTGTAGTTTCCTCAAGGTCTTAGTACCTCAAACAAACACTAATACATTCTACTCTTATCCTCAATCCAAAGAGAAACTATTGTTACATTCTAATGTTGCCCTATACACAATGACTCTACTAGATTCCCATAAAAGTTAGGATGGTTGTGAGAACCTGTAACCCTAGTATTGGGGTGGAGTCACTTACCAGTCAGCCTAGCCAAAATGGAGACTTCAGGTTCAGTGGGAGATAATGTCTCAAAATGTAAAGTTGAAGGTGACACAGAAACACCTGAAGCCAGCCTTAACCTCCACATGCTCTCCCCATGACCTCCACATACACACATGAACACTAGTGAATACAACACACACTCTTAATAGTCATGTTTCCAATATGGTAAGACAAGTAATAACCAAATAACTGGAGTTGTTTCATATGTATGTGCTTCTAAAGAACCTCAGGTACACATTCAGGCTATCTAATGCCCAGTGTGTGGCATGGCTGGAGAATGCGGATTATGATGAACATGTCAACTTTTGCTGGAGGATTCAGTGCTTCCCCTTTAGATTACAAATGGTCAAGCACTTCGTCAGTTCCCTGTTATGTTACTCATATTCGTGAAAGCTCTGGAGCCATTATATCACAGAGAATCCAGCTCAGAAAGATGAAACTGCATGTTTCCTCTCATACAAGATATCTAGGTATAAACTCATGTGCATGGTGTGAGCATGCGTGTGTGTGTATAAATGCACATGTGTGTATATGTGTGTGTATGTTTGCATGTGTAAATGTGTATATGTATATGTGTGTACATACAGGTTTTTTTTGAAAGTAGAAAGGGGATCATGAGAGAGTAGGGGATGATCTAATATCTAAGGAATGGTTCTCCACCTGTGGTTTGTGACCCCTTTGGTCATTTACAGGAATCACCATGGAGAAAAACAGATATTTACATTGTGATTCATAACAGTAGCAAAATTACAGTTATGAAGTAGCAATGAAAATAATTTTGTGATTGGGGTTCAGCACAACACGAGGAACTGTATTAAAGGGTCTCAGTGTTAGGCAGCTTGAGAAGCACTGATCTAAGGAGTGCTGTAACAACTCATGTGACATGAACGTGGATGGAAGGACTGCGTGACAGGAGGAAGGGGATCAGTGCAGGGCCAGGAGAGACAGGGGAGAGTAGAGAAGAAGGGAAAATAACAATGATATATAATGTTATATGTGTGAAAACACCATTATTAAACCTGTTTCTTTGCATACTGGTTTTAAAATAACTTAAAAGGGCCAGGTATGATGACACATTTAATTCCAGCACTTGGGAGGCAGAGACAGGTAGAGCTCCATAATTTTGAGGTTAGCACAGTCTGTGTGGTAAATTCCAGGACAGTTGGGGCTGTGTAGAGAAACCCTGCCTCAAAAGTAAATAATTAATTAAAACAACTTCAACAGCACAAGTGCAAAACATGACAGTGAATTGAGTCTTCTGAATTTCTGCTTACCATCAGGTTGTAGGAAATGACACACCCCTCTGCAGGAGATAGAGGCAGATGTGACGAACTGTCCTCAGGTTCTTATCTGAATGATGCTGTTTACTATTGTCCTGTAAGAAACTGAGGACTTCCACCTCAAATCTGTCTTTCATAGATACAGGCCTATGGCTGTGCCACCTAGCATCCTGGATACGGGGACCAGATCTACCACCCTTGGAGCAACTCTCACTCGAAAGGCACTCACTTCTGAAACCATCAGTGTCTTCTGACTCTGTTTCCAGTGTTGCTTCCTGAAACCCCATGCCTCCCAGAATGAGGGTTATGCAGTCCAGGGTTCCAGATCAAACCCTGGTAGCACAGCCTCTCCCATTTCTGGGGTCTGTACCCACTTGGGGATCTTATTCCAGTCCAGACTTTGGGAGGAGGAGATGGAGACAGCGTGGTTGTGTGTTCCCAGAAGTGCAGTTTCTGCTGAGTCCTACTTTCGCAACCCCGGACTACCACATGATTATCTTTCTCATGCCTCTCTCACTCCACAGCCATCTTTCTCCTACTCTCCCTTTCTGGAACAATACCACTGAAGCCACTCTACCAGATCTTATTTCTCTAGGTCATTTTAGGCAGTAGATTTGCAGGTCACACAGAATGTGATATGGGTTGATAATGAAGTTTTTAATCATCACCATGATTTGAGTGTGTTCCCTAGAATTTGATAATAGAATCTTGATTTCTCAAGAAAGGAGTGGTCAGCATTAAGGCGTATTGAAATGAGGGACCTATGGGAAGCTGTTGAGGTCATGAGAACAGAACTGCCCTTACTGGAATAAGGCCAACTAGTATAAATGAGCAAGTCTCTACTCATTCACACTTGATGAGTTACTCTATGTGGGTCTCTCTCTGTCTCTGTCTTTCCCTATCTCTGTCTCTCTTTCCAGGAGAGATCTCTCTACATAGTTCTGACTGTCCTGACACTCTCTAGGGAGTCCAGCATGACATCAAACTCACCTGCCTGTGCCTGGGATTCAGAGTGACTAGGTAACAAGGGATGCCCATATATCCCTGGGAAGGGGGAATAGAAGAGATTTCATGAGTAGACTGGGGGTGGGTGAGGGTGGGAGCATGAGAGATCAGGTTATGGGGATCAGATCAGAGGGGGAGAGTAATGAAAGATACTACTGGAAAGGGAGAGCATTTGAGGGTCAGATAAAAGCCTGGCACAAGGGAACCTCCCAGAAATCTACAAGGAAGACCCCCAGATAAGACTATTCCTAGCAATAGTGGATACAAAATCTGAACTGGCCATCTCCTGTGACCAGATTAGTGCCTAGCCCAATTGTCATCAGAGAGATACAGAGACCTACAGTCAAAAAGAGTCTGGGGAATCCTGTAGAAGAGGGAGAGAAATGATTGTAG